ATGCAGATAATATAAGAAGCACCCACATACCAACTACTCAGGAAAAAAAGCAAATGTTATTATTTAGCCTCATTTGTTTCAGAAGGATTTTGAGTTATACTCAAGCCAAAATAACCAAATAAATTTAATCAAACTCAACGCTAAAATAAACAGGATTCATAAACAAATGCAAACTGGAAATATTTTGAAGTTATAACTCCTAAAAAAGCTCCTCCTGTAAATGAATTTCAAAATTTCATAATATTAACAGCCTTCCTTCCCTACAGAACTGAACATTTCACTTTAAAATATGAACACAGTGCTATTTAAAGGATTAATTTCTTATTTCTCCCTTCTGTCAAACTTCTACCTTGAAAATGCTTCACCTAATATGTGAAACAAGACCAGGTGACAGCACTAAAAAATAATTTAACACATAATTAAATGATTTCCTTTGCCTTAAAAGATCAAAATAAAACTATGTATTCCTGGTTCTAGAAGGATGTCAAGAGTGGTGGTATAGTTTTGAGTTTCCCTAAACCCCTCCCCCAAAAAAGGACAAAAAGCAATAAGGAAAACAAAAGCAAAATTCATCAACATGTACAACAAAATGAGGTGGCCAGTACTTTAACTAACAGTAGTGAAGTAGTCACTCAAATTCTTCCACAGATTGTAATTATAAAAACTGGATAAAAATAATTTTAAAATAACATTTAAAGACAATGAAAACCTTCCAAACGTAGACAGAAGCCTGCTTGGAGATTAATATTTCAATTATCAAAAAATTACAGCCATAGGTCGGGCACAGTAGTTTATGCCTGTAATCCCAGCACTTTGGGAGGTTGAGGTGGGTGGACTGCTTGAGCCCAGGAGCTTGAGACTAGCCTAGGTAACAGGAAGAAACCCCGCCTCTCTACTAAAAATACAAAAAATTAGCCAGGTGTTGGTGGCACATGCCTGTAGTTCCAGCTTCTCAGGAGGCTGAGGCGGGAGGATTGCTTGAGCCCAGGAGGTCAAGGCTGTGGTGAGGCATGATCATGTAACTGCACTCCAGCCTGGGTGACACAGCAAGACCGTGTCTCAAAACAAAACAAAACTCCTAATATGCTCAGATGTTAGATTTAGCAGACTGAGACTTCCATGCAGCAATTATACATATACACATATATTGTTCAAAAAACTGACAGAACATATGTTCAAAGAATTAAAGGAAAATACAATGAATAAACAGGAGATATCAACATAGAAATGAGAACTATACAAAACAGAAATTCTAGAGCCAAAAAGTATAATAATTGAGATAAAAAATTCACTAGATGAGTTCAACAGAAAACTGGAGATAGCAGAAGACTCAGTGAACTTGAAAACAGATCATGTGTAAATTCTCAATCCAAAGTATACAGAGAAAAACAATTTAAAGAAATAAACAAGCAAGCAAACAAACCAAACCTCAGGACCTATAGGAAAAGGAAACAGCCCAACATAATAGTAATTTAGAATAAGAGAGGTATAAAAAAGGCCAAAATAATTTGAAAAAAAAAAAATAATGGCCCAGACTCCCAAATTTGGTAGTAAACATTAATTCACACATCCAAGAAGCTAAATGAAATGGAAGCAGGAAAAAACACAAATAAATCTCCCCTAGACATATTAAAAGTGCTGAAAGCCAAAGATAAGGTAAAAGATTGGAAAGCAGCCAGAGAAAAAACAATGTGTTATATATGGAGGAGGAATATGGTAAGTTGCTGACTTCTCATCAGAATATCAGAACATAGCCAAAGTGCTGAAGGAACAGATGAAAAAAAAATTTCCAGGTAAGCAAAAAATCACATAATTTGTTGCCAGCAGAGCTACATAACAAGAAGTGCTACAGGAAGTTCTATAGGGTAAAGGGAAGGAATACCAGATGACAATTTTGATACAAAAGAAGAAATAAAGGGCAACAGAAACAGTAAATACACAGTAAAGTAAAAACAACCCACCACTACGAAAATTTGTTCTTCTTTTAATTTCTTTAAAAGACAGATAACAGTTTAAGGCAAAATAACAACACTGATGGTTTAATAACCTATATACCATCTGTGTATCTTTTTGTACAGTTCTGGATTTGGGGAAGCATATTTAAAAGTAAAAATCAATAAGGATAAAGAAAAGTCGAGTGGGGGAGACTAAAACTGAAAGTAATCTGAAACAAATAAACCCAACTATATTTTAAATGAACATCATAATCACACCAAAGAGGAAAAATGAATCTAACTAATTTAAGAACACAGTACTTGACCCCGTATTCCCTTAATCTTGGTCAGAGAGAATTACAAATGAATCCTAAACTCTGATGACCTTAATTAGAATCTCCTTCTACTTATAATAAGTACAAGTGAGCCTAAATGTACTTACTGCTCTGGAGTATACTACTCTCACACAACAAAACTTTATAGACCTTGCCTTCACTGACTATAATCTTATTAGTTTTTTAAAACTGTAACTGCTTTATAAAATCAGCTCCCAAAAAAGTATCCACTACATTATTCAATGTCTTTTACATAAGGATCTGTGAAAAATCCCTCTTAGAATTTGGTGCCAAAATTTTTCTCCTAAACAATATGTACAATTTATCAGAAAATAAGACCTAAGTGTATGTGAAGTGATGCATATGTTAATTAGCTTGATTTAGCCATTCCACAATGTATACATATTTCAGTTTTTAAAACGAATTGTTTAAGAAATGAAAGAGCTAACTAATCCATCAGATTTCCTTTGCTGCCTTAGCTGCCAGAAAACTGATCTCTTTTCCATGTTTTTGATCTAATATATCTTTCACTGAACTACACATGGGTATATGTTTTCTTTGCAAAATACCTCAAATATCTCCTATCTTTATTTTACTGGAATAAAAGTGCTTAGTTTACAGCAGTATGTCCTCTTTAGTCTGAATGAAGTTTATACGAAGTAATAAATAGAAGATAGACTATACATTTTAAAATAATCATCTTAATATGATTGCAACACGAATGTGAAATAATTTCACATAGTAGCAGTACTACAAATAACTACTGAATTCACCTGTGGTTAAAAAAAAAAAATCAGCTTTCATCAACTCAAAAAAACATGCAATTGTTCAGAATGACTGCTTTTAAATAAATACTTGACAAAAGCAAAATATGAAAAACAATTTTTACAATAATGCCTTTAAAATTTTGTGTATGAATTTCATAATTTTTATGTGCTGTGAAATATTCTATTAGCAAAAACACAAATGTATTCAATATAAAATATAACCTCTATACTCAATTACTTAATTGTATTATAGGTTAGAAATTTTAAAAAAGTCACATGTACCAAGTGGTACAAACAAGTGTCTTAAAAACGGAGCCTGAGGATAGTATACTTATACTTGGAATGATCAGGAGAGACATTAAGAAGGTAGCTTTTGAGCCAAACCAAGAAAGGCTGGTATCATGGAGCAGAGAATGGGGCCAAGACAGCAGCAGCTAGCTAGTCAACACAACGGGCTTGGTGCTTTAAAATATTTAAGTAGGAAATGGCAAACTACAGCTCACAGTCTAAATTCAGTCCACTGCCTGTTTTGTATAACTTGTGGGCTACAAATGGTTTTTATGTTTTTACTTGATTGAAAAGTATCAAAAGAATATTTCATAACATATAAAAATTATGAAATTCATATACAAAATTTTACTGGCACACAGCCACACTCATTCTGTGACTGCTTTTGTACTGTAAGGCAGAGCTGTATAGCTGCAACAGTGACCATGTGAATTGCAGCCTAAAATTTACTATCTGGCCCTTTAGAGAAAAAGACTGCCAACACCTTCCCTTGGGAAGGCCTATGCAGCTGAAGCACTACAAATGAGGAGGGGCTGGGCAGAGGATGGTGAGACTGAAGCTGGAGAGCTAAGAGGAACCTGCGGGTCATGGTGAGGATTTGGGTCCACATCATAAGAGTAATGAGGAAGCTGTTCGAGTTTTAAGTAGGAGACTGACAATTCGATTTGCATTTTGAAAAGATCATTCTGGTTGTTATACTGGGGCCCAGAGGACAAGGAGATATGAAGGCTAGTATAGTAAGTAGTTCAAACAAGATATGAATATAGCTTAAACTTTGGTGCTGGCAAAGTAAAACAAGGAGACTAGGCAAGATTATTTCTGAGATCTCTTCCAGTTCTAAAATGCTAAAAAGTCACAGTGGTTGCAACTTTCCTTGGTATTTCCAATTATCACAAACAATTCTCAAAACTGTTTTGCTAGGTGACAAAGATTCTTTGCTGGGCCAAACTTTATTGAGGTTTCTGAATCTTCTGCTATGCCCATTTGTGTACTTCCTATAAATTCCAGTTTTAGCAAAGTACTCTGCTAAGTCAGTTTAGCAAGAAACCCCTGTCCTTGACATCTGATTGTCCTTTACCATCCCACTTGATATTTGATCACCCAGGACTGTTTTCAGCAAGAATCCTGTTTTTAGTCAAAATCCCCTTATCCTTGATGTTTCCTCTTAGTAAGCTCCCATCCATTGATCCCATTGCTTCTTGGCTATAAATTCCCACCTGCCCATCCTGTATTCAGAGTTAAGCCCAATCTTTCCCTGACTTCAAGACCTTGCTGCAGTGGCTGCTACACTTATCATGAAGGTCTTGAATAAAGACTTCCTTACTGTGCTTTAACAAGTATCATTGAGTAATTTTCTCTTTAACATAGGAGTATAGTACTCTCACACAACAAAACTTTATAGCCCTTGCCTTCACTGACTATAATTTTATTTGTTTTTATGCATCTAAAGAGTGTCGTAATGATTATAGAATAATGCCCCTCCTCCATTAAAGCACTTTCTAAAATATGATTTATATTTGTTCTAAGTTAGAAAGGACTACTTTTATGATATTAAATTTACAATTAAGAAATTACAGATAAATTAAACAATTTAAATTAACACACAACACAAATACTGCTTAGGAACATTTTCACTGCACTTGCGTAACTTAATAATGATAAAACAAAGAACATACCTGCCACACTCTAACAACGTAACTTTAAGACGGCCTTCAGTAAGTGCCCATTGTTGTATATGGATATGCTCTTCATCTTCTTCAAATCCTTGCAAGGTTTGGTATGGAAAAAACGGCTTAAACCTGACAAAAGTAAAGATAAGTCTAAATGTTCGAATAATAAACACCACAGTTTAAAGCATGATAACAAAAGCCACCTGTACAAAAACACAAAACAAAATAAACACCTCATATTATGTATGCTTTACAAAACCAACGTTTAACACACTCCCCCATAAATAGCAGCAAATGGTGCCCAAAAGTCGGGTTTTTTTTTGGCATGACCCCATTGATAAAGCAAGAGAGAACAAAGAAAAGAAAAATAGAGAGAGGAAGCAAGTAGGGCATGAAGTTTAGGCAGGGTAGGAGAGAGATTCTTTGTGAACCAGATGGGAAGAGTATTCCTACAGTATAAGATCAAAATTCAGAATTCATGTTCCATAGGAATAATGTACAGTCCCTTGGTATCCATAGGGGATTGGTTCCAGGACTTCCCAAGAATAACAAAATACAAGGATGCTCAAGTCTCTAACATAAAAAATGGCACACTATTTGCATTATACATGTTCTCTCATATGCTTTGAATCATCTCTAGATTACTTATCATACCTAATACAGTGTAAATGCTATGTAAATAGCTGTTAGACTATATTGTTCAGAGAATAATGACAAGGAAAAAAAGTCTGCATGTTCAGTGCAGATGTAATTTTTAATAAATATTTTCAATTCACAGTTGTTTGAATCCATGGATGCAGAATCCATGGATGTGGAACCCATGAACACAGAAAGCCGACTATAAGAGATAGAGTACATGATAAAGAAGATTGTAATAGCAACATCAACAATGATTAATACAGCAGAGGTATTCATTAGAGATGTTTACTATTTTCCAGGCAATATGCTAAGATTTATATGTATTATCTTATTTAATGCTCACAACACTGAAGGGGCAATATTATTGGCTCCTCTGTCCAGATGAAAAGAATGAAGCTTAGAAAGGTTAACAAGTTTGTTCAATTTTACAAAGTGAATGGCAAAACCAGAATTTAAGCTAGTCTGATTCCAAAGCCTAACTACATAACACTTCAGTTACCTATGAATTATTTAAGGCGCTCATGTGCTCATCACTAATATCATTGTTTTTATGGACAAGTTTGTGCTTAGTTATAAACTGTAGGTTTTAAAAAACTTTCAATTTAAAACACAACCCATATTCCTCCATTAAAGCTAAAGAAAAAGAAAATGAAAGAAAATTGGCTTTAAAGCCCTGTGGTTTTCAATTCACCCTATACATTGTCACTAGCCGTGGTATCTGCTTGCTCAGAAAGTTTTAATGGCTTCATATTGACCACACACAGACACACATAAAGATGGTCAAAAGTTCTTGGTTTCACATTTGAGGTCCACCACAACTGATCTTTCTTTCTTGTTGTTGTTGTTGTTTGTTTTTTTTGTTTTTTTTTTTTTTTTTTTTTTTTTTGGCGACAGAGTCTTGCTCTGTCGCCCAGGCTGGAGTACAGTGGCACAATCTTGGTTCACTGCAACCTCCACCTCCCTTGTTCAAGTGATTCTCTTGCCTCAGCCTTCCAAGTAGCTGGGATTACAGGCATGCACCACCACATGTGGATGATTTTTGTATTTTTAGTAGAGATGGGGTTTTGCCATGTTGGCCAGACTAGTCTCGAACTCCTGACCTCAAGTGATCTGCCCACCTCAGCCTCTCAAAGTTACGGGATTACAGGTCTGGGCCACCACGCCCAGCCCACAATCTTTCTAATCATATATTACCTTAATATAAACCTTCCAATATAGAAAGTCACTTTATATACCCAGAAGACACTATGAATATTCCTGCTATCATGCCTTTTGTACCAACTGGGGTTTTTCCCAGATTCCTCAAAGCCTGTCCAAATCCTCCCCTCTTTCATATTTGGGCATACATGATGCTTTCCCTCTTTTCTATCATGCCGTCCTCTAAACTGCTGTACATTTATGCCTTAAAATGTCAAATATGACCTACTCTCACAATTTTCTGCATCCATCACATACCTGACAGGATACTTCACACACTATCAGGATTTGAGTATGTGTTGTGCTGATTTACAAATGGTTAACACTAAAACTGAAATAAACACTTAGAAAACATCAACAGCTTACTGTAGTTTATACTGAAAGATACTAATAGAAGGGGTTAAATGCTGTTTTATGTTTTCCCAGTAAACAAGATTAAAGGAAAAACTTTAAGGAAACTTTAAGTAGGGACACAGACAATGCTCAATGCTTTTATCTTGTTTCTGAATTAGTATGGAAAACAGAAAGCCCCCTCAGTTTCTCCCAACTAAAATGCTAATTTGCATCTGAAGTAATTTGATTCAGACAGACTGGCACCAAATGCTTAGAGGAAAAAAAATTAGTAACTAAATTTATATCAATATAATGTTGTAGCTGAGTGCTTTTCATACAGCCCTTATGACTCCTGAAAAACATATAACTGTTACTTTATAAAAAATTATAATCATCATATATACTAAAATTTTTGAATTTAATAATCCAAATTAGCTAAATCATACCTGCTCTAAGAATCAAATTTTCTTGTCAAATATGAAATCAAAATTCAATTAAAAACAAATGTCTTACAGGAGTATGAGTTAAATGTTACATGGAGTAGAGTCTAATTTGGGTTTATTAATGCCCAGGGGGTTTTGCTAAGAGTGTTTATGCACAAAAACAATTTAAAATCAGAACAATGTATTCCATTTTAAATGAATATACTAAATGGTAGGATAAAGCATAAACATGTTTGGCAAGCCAATAAATAGAATCCAAACATTAACATTCTCTAAGAACATTTGGTTTTCAGAACTTTTAAGTCCAAGCCTTTAAGTATCCCAAACCCATGAAGAATCCAGGCAATGAAGCGGGCTACCTCTATCACTTTCTTTTATCTTCCTATCCCAATATGATCTTCAAAATCCATTAGTCTTTATTTCCTATTAACCTATTAACTCAAAAATGTCACCTTTTAGGCCAGGCACGGTGGCCCATGCCTGTAATCCCAGCACTTTGGGAGGCTGAGGCGGGTGGATCAAGAGGTCAAGAGATCCAGACCATCCTGGCCAACATGGTGAAACCCTGTCTCTACTTAAAATACAAAACTTAGCTGGGTGTGGTGGTGCAAGCCTGCAGTCCCAGCTACTTGGGAGGCTGAGGCAGGAGAATCATTTGAACCTGGGAGGCGGAGGCTGCAGTGAGCCGAGATTGCACCACTGCGCTCCAGCCTGACAACAGAGTAAGACTTGGTCTAAATAAAAAAAAAAAAAGTCAGTTTTCTCACTCAGGCTTCCCCCCTGAAATAACCTTAACAAACTACCTGTGTTTCCTCCTGTGTAAAACATAAAAACCTCAACTAGAAAAATCGACTTCAAGGAAGACAGTATGAGGAGCCCTGCTGACCTGCTCCCCAGTGAAACTGGTGAAAATTATTTTAAACCAACACATTTACAGCCTCTCAAAATAGTCTTAAGAGTAGAGAGCAAATTTTAAAAATCTACTTAAGAAAATCTACAAAAATTTGATAAGAAAAACAAGTCTGTGGTGTTTGAATACTGTTTCTCCAACAAGCTCAGGGTGGCAGAGACTTCACATCAGACTTCTATTGCCAGGAACACAGGGCTCCCTCATCCGATAGCTCTCAGTGGTGGGCTTTCTCCCTGGGAGGAAATGGCACTTGAACATAAAAAAAAAAAAAAGTGCTATTTCCTTTGTGGCAGCAAAAATTTGCTTCTAACAATTTGATGGCCCATACAGGGAGCCCATTCTCCTCTGAGGAACAGGCCTCTGGTTGCCTCTTGTGGGGAGACGTGTCCCATTGCCTCGTTGTGGTGGCCTCAGGATGAGAGATTATTCGCACCTGGTGTGACGAATAAACCCAGACTCTCAGCAATGCAGAAAGAAACTGGCTGGCAACCTGGGGGAGAGGATCCTTGCATACCATGGTGACCAAGTAACTCTGTGCACAGACCAAGGTAAGAAATGTCATAAAGGCGATAAGAGTATTTCCTTGATGGTCCAGATATTCTGGAGGTTGAATGTTGGTCAGGAGATTCTGGAGGTTGTGGGTGTGAATGATCACAAGCACTACTACTTGAGGTGCTGCTTGTGTGAATGGTACTAAGCTCTAGTGGGTCCTATCTGCGGTTCCAGAGTCACCTCGTGCAGCTTAAGGCAGATCCTGCTGCGGGGTTTATACCAGCACGCCGATGCCAAGAGGGACCTAGATCTTCTCTGGGGGAGCAACCAGAGTGGACAAAGTGCAAGAAGGATGCAAGGAGCCTCCAGCAGGTGGGACTAAATGATAGGCGAGACATTTCTGATATGAGAGATTGAGCCTAACCAGTACCCAATATGGGAAATATCCCAAGCAAGACAGGGGCAAGAAGGTTAACAATGGTAACAAGGGTATTCCCCTTGATAGCCCCCTAGGTCTCATGTTAAAATACTGGAAGGATAATGAAACAACTAAACATAGAAAAAGTAACAAATGATAAAATATTGCTCTCTTATTTGGACTCAGGGACCCATCCTCAAACACTGAATCTTATGGCCAAGGTTTGGGTTGAATGAGGATGTAATGTGTCAGCATCTAATTCAATATGTTAATGATAAAAGTCCAGTTTCTCAAGAAAAAGTGGACTGTGCTCTTTGTTGGAGCCAGGGACCTATCCTTTTTTCCTTAAAAACAACTAGGGAAGAACCCAATCTGGTGCCTCAAAATTAAAAGTCAGAGAAGCTAGTGCCCATGACTAAAGACTCTATCTAGTTCATGGGATGCCCTAGACCATCTCCCCCCACTCAGTGTCCCCAATCCTTCTCCCCAGGTAGCTGCTGCCACCCCATATCCGATTCCAGATCCTTCACCGGCCCATGTTATCCCTCCTCCTTATAACCCTGACTCTTGAGAATTACTATCTCACAAGCCTGTTCCATCCCAGTCCAAATACCCTCTCTAAAAGGACTCCAGTGGAAGGTAGAATAATGTAAAAGACATATTCAGAATTTCTCATTTCCCTCTGCACTTAGGGAGT